GGATGGGGCCGAATTTTGAAGGCACCCGGACTTCAGTGAAAAGACGCAAACTGAAATGGTACGGCCACCTCACATGAACAACTGGACTGGACAAAACTATCCTGCAGGGAACAGCATAAGGAGGGAGACGGAGAGGCAGACCGAGGAGATGATGGGGGAAGACAACATCAAAGTGTGTACTTGTGACTGGAACATCTTACTGCAGAAAACTGAGCACCGAGAGGAGAGAAAGATGCTGGTTATAAAATCTACAGCGGTGTCACATCAGTCAGCCAGACAACGGGATAGGTGAAGATGAAAGTCATTTAAGCCAAAAAGAACATTCAGGTTCAATTATGATGAGCTTACATTGAGTCAGCAAGAGTCAGCAAGCTGTTCAAATGTGCTTCGCCCCGATAGAATCTTTTTCATGACAGAGAAAGAAACGGTATCATTCTTGTAATAACACTTAATAAATATACTTTCACGTACATTGGATTACTGAGTGCCCTTTCCTGCTCTTTATCACCATTAGAATTTGAGTTTAGACAGCATATTTAATTTCTGCATATTTCTTGAACACATGCAGCCGATACCACAGATGAAGACACTGTTAGAAATTTTTTTCCTACACATAAAAACCCCAACAAACTTTGTACTTAGTACAAGTGACCAGCTGACTGACAATTGACGTACCTGCGTAGATCCGGCGGTGTTGGTTCTGGATGTGTCTGTACGGTCTTTCATATTTCTCCGGCACCTGCAGCGGGCCGTGGACAGACTGGTAGGCCAGGTACAGGAACAGGGGCTGGGACGTGCGGGGAGAGATTGGTGTCAGAGATACTCTGGAGATATCCTAAAGCCGTCTCACATAAATCATCATAATGTCCCTCCACTTTTGTCTCCTTTCCCGGACCTCAGGTCAATGTATTGTTTGAACTACACGTATACCATAGTACCATAAAACTGACCTAAACACCCCGAACGTGTGACCCTCACTGGTGAGATTGAAGACAAACGAGGCAGGGGCAGATCCAGAGCAACTGAATTGGTAAGCCTGAACTGATGGGTGACAAGAAAAGATGAGGATAATAATATGTGAAGCGTGCTGACAAAATGAGTTACTTCTCGGATTCAAACCTTATGGAAATAGATACACACCAGGCTTGTAGGTGAAAATCTTACAATTAATAAGTATGAAATAATAAAAGGCATGTTATAGTTAAAGAATATATAGCACCAGAAAAATTCAACAAATTTGACCACGGTGTCGATATTTGGCCGACGTCTCCATTTGTGGATTATGAGAAGTAACTCATTTTGTCAGCACGCCTCACATATTGATATTAATATAGTTGTTTTTTTGTTTTTTTTAAAAGAGCGTCCAAGCAAAGAAATGAACGGCGAACCTTGACAGCAGATGTCTATCGCGGATCTGGCACTTGATGATGGTGATCTTAAAAACCCCTCATCTCAATGTCCGCCCCCCCACATACGCACTATTCCCCGCTCACTTTCCTGGGATCATGAGCCTGCACCACATCAATAGCCTTCTCCGTGAAGAGATGACCAGAGTAATGTCCCTCCTCGCTATGTACAGGGCCGTTCTGGTCACGCAGGTCCAGGTACCAGTTCCCGTCTGAGAAGTTCTGTTTGTGGGCGTAGTAGGTCTCCATACCGTTCAGATATCCTGGAGAAAAAGGGGAGGAGGAGGGGGAAAGCCAGAAGAAGGGGAAAGGGGTCGGTGGGTGTGTGTGAGATGGTGGGGAAGAAGGGGGGTGAGGGAGGGAAGGGGAAGAATCGGCATTGTAAGAGACTGAAGGGGGGTG